GACCTTCGGTTGGGCTCCCTATAGGGCCGCGAAACGTGTGAGGGATGTGCCGACATGGGTGTGCGGGACGCATGCGGGCACACCCACTGGGACCTTCGGTGGAGCTCCCTATGGGGCCACGAAGCGTGTGAGGGGTGTACCGACATGGGTGTGCGGGACGCATGCGGGTACACCCATTGGGACCTTCGGTGGAGCTCCATTAGGGGCAACGAAACGTGCGACGGGTGGGCCGCAATGGGTGTGCGGGACGCATGCGGGCACACCCACTGAGACCTTCGGTGGAGCTCCCTATGGGGCCACGAAGCGTGCGAGGGGTGTGCCGAAATGGGTGTGCGGGACGCATGCGGGCACACCCACTGGGACCTTCGGTGGAGCTCCCTATGGGGCCACGCAGCGTGTGAAGGGTGTGCCGAAATGGGTGTGCGGGACGCATGCGGGTACACCCATTGGGACCTTCGGTGGAGCTCCCTATGGGGCCACGAAAACGTGCGAGGGGTGCGCCGAAATGTGTGTGTGCGGGACGCATGCGGGCACGCCCACTGGGACCTTCGGTGGAGCCCCGTATGGGGCAACGAAGCGTGTGCGGGGTGGGCCGAAATGGGTGTGCGGGACGCATGCGGGCACACCCGCTGGGGCCTTCGGTGGAGCTCCTTATGGGGCCACGAAACGTGTGAAGGGTGTGCCGAAACGGGTGTGCGGGACGCATGCGGGCACACCCATTGGGACCTTCTGTGGAGCTCCCTATGGGGCCACGAAGCGTGTGAGGGGTGGGCCGACATGGGTGTGCGGGACGCATGCGGGCACACCCATTGGGACCTTCGGTGGAGCTCCCTATGGGGCCACGAAACGTGTGAGGGGTGGCGAACAATGGGTGTGCGGGGCGCGTGCGGGCACACCCACTGGGACCTTCGGTGGAGCTCCCTGTGGGGCCGCGAAGCGTGCGAGGGGTGTGCCGAAATATGTGTGCGGGACGCATGCTGGCACACCCGCTGGGACCTTCTGTGGAGCTCCCTATGGGGCCGCGAAGCGTGTGAGGGGTGTGCCGACATGAGTGTGCGGGGCGCATGCGGGCACACCCGTTGGGACCTTCCGTGGAGCCCCCTATGGGGCCACGAAGCGTGTGAGGGGTGCGCCGAAATGTGTGTGTGCGGGACGCATGCGGGCACACCCGCTGGGACCTTCGGTGGAGCTCCCTATGGGGCCACGAAGCGTGTGAGGGGTGTGTCGACATGGGTGAGCGGGACGCGTGCGGGCACACCCACTGTGGCCTTCGGTGGAGCTCCCCATGGGGCGACGAAACGTGCGAGGGGTGGGCCGACATGGGTGTGCGGGGCGCATGCGGGCACACCCACTGGGACCTTCGGTGGAGCCCCCTACGAGGCCGCGAAGCGTGCGAGGGGTGTGTCGACATGGGTGTGCGGGACGCATGCGGGCACACCCACTGGGGCCTTCGGTGGGGCTCCCTATGTGACCACGAAACATGTGAGGGGTCACGAAACGCGAGAGGGGTGTGCCGAAATGGGTGTGCGGGACGCATGCGGGCACACCCACTGGGGCCTTCGGTGGAGCTCCCTATGGGGGCACGAAGCGTGTGAAGAGCATGCCGAAATGGGCATCCACTGGGACCTTCGGCGGAGCTCCTTATGGGGCCACGAAACGCGTGATGGGTGTGCCGAAATGTGTGTGTGCGGGACGCAAGCGGGCGGCGGCACTGGGGCCTTCGTTGGAGCTCCCTATGGGGCCACGAAGCGTGCGAGGGGTGTGCCGAAATGGGTGTGCGGGGCGCATGCGGGCACACCCACTGGGACCTTCGGTGGAGCTCCTATGGGGCCACGAAACGGGTGAGGGGTGTGCCGGGTTGGGTGTGCGTGACGCATGCGGGCGGCAGCTCTGGGGCCTTCGGCTGAGCTCCCTATGGGGCCACGAAACGTGTGAGGGGTGTGCCGAATTGAATGTGCGTGACGCATGCGGGCGGCAGAGCTGGGGCCTTCGGCTGAGCTCCCTATGGGGCGACGAAACGTGTGAGGGGTGTGCCGAATTGGGTGTGCGTGACGCATGCGGGCGGCTGCACTGGGGCCTTCGGCGGAGCTCCCTATGGGGCCACGAGACGTGTGAGCGGTGTGCCGAATTGAGTTGAGTGTGCGTGACGCATGCGGGCGGCAGCACGGGGGCCTTCGGCGGAGCTCCCTATGGGGCCACGAAACGTGTGAGGGGTGTGCCGAATTGAATGTGCGTGACGCATGCGGGCGGCAGCGCTGGGGCTTTCGGCGGAGCTCCCTATGGGGCCACGAAACGTGTGAGGGGTGTGCCGGATTGGGTGTGCGTGCCGCATGCGGGCGGCAGCACTGGGGCCTTCGGCGGAGCTCCCTATGGGGCCACGAAGCGTGTGAGGGGTGTGCCGAATTGGGTGTTGGTGACGCATGCGGGCGGCAGCGCTGGGGCCTTCGGCGGAGCCCCTTATGGGGCCACGGAACGTGTGAGGGGTGTGCCGAATAGGGTGTGGGTGACGCATGCGGGCGGCAGCACTGGTGCCCTCGGTGGAGCTCCTATGGGGCCACGAAGCGTGTGAGGGGTGTGCCGAATTGGGTGTGCGTGACGCGTGCGGGCGGCAGCACTGGGACTTTCGGTAGAGCTCCCTATGGGGCCACGAAGCGTGTGATGGGGTGTGCCGAATTGGGTGTGCGTGACGCATGCAGCATGTGAGTGGTGTGCCGAATTGGGTGCGGGTGACGCATGCGGGCGGCAGCACGGGGGCCTTCGGCGGAGCTCATATGGGGCCACGGCACGTGTGAGGGGTGTGCCGAATTGGGTGTGGGTGACGCATGCGGGCGGCAGCTCTGGGGCCTTCGGTGGAGCTCCTTATGGGGCCACGAAACGCGCGAGGGGCGTGCCGAATTGGGTGTGGGTGGCGCATGCGGGCGGCAGCACTGGGGCCTTCGGCGAAGCTCCTATGGGGCCACGAAGCGTGTGAAGGGGTGTGCCGAATTGGGTGTTGGTGACGCATGCGGGCGGCAGCACTGGGGCCTTCGGCGGAGCTCCCATGGGGCCACGAAACGTGTGAGGGTGTGCCGAATTGGGTGTGGGTGGCGCATGCGGGCGGCAGCACTGGGGCCTTCGGCGGAGCTCCTATGGGGCCACGAAGCGTGTGACGGGCGTGCCGAATTGGGTGTGGGTGACGCACGCGGGCGGCAGCGCTGGTGCCTTCGGCGGAGCTCCTATGGGGCCACGAAGCGTGTGAGGGGTGTGCCGAATTGGGTGTTGGTGACGCATGCGGGCGGCAGCGCTGGGGCCTTCGGCGGAGCTCCTGTGGGGCCGCGAAACGCGTGAGGGGCGTGCCGAATTGAGTGTGGGTGGCGCATGCGGGCGGCAGCACTGGGGCCTTCGGCGGAGCTCCTGTGGGGCTACGAAGCGCTGTTCTGGGCGGAGTGAAACGCAGGGAAGAGGGGGAGGAGGGAGGAGGAGGGGGAGGAGGAGAGGGGGAGGAGGAGGAGAGGAGGAAAGGAGACGCGGGGACCGTTTCCTCAAAACGAGGACCCAACACCACAGGATGATTAGGAAAAATGAAGTTGGCCACGTTCAGTTGTTCAAGTTGCCTGGAGTGGGCTGGGGTGGACCGAAGTAGTGTGCGCTGGAAAAACGGGATTTGACAGGGGTGGGCTGGGCGGGGCAGCGTCCGCGTCGCTTCCTCTGCTCTTCTGCGCGCTAGTACTCTACTATATTGTTGCTGTACCTGCTCGACCCACTCTAGTCTGCCCCATCGCACTCTAGTGCATGTGTCGTCTCGGAGGGCCCTCGCACGCGTGCTCTCGGAGGGCCCAGTGGCGCTTCGAAGTGCCATCCCGCAGGGCCCCAAGCTCAAGAGTTAAGAAGGCCCCGGGGGGGCCCTAGGAATTGCTCAAGTGCCCCATGGACCGCTCGGATGTAATTACACAGCGCCTTGATGCATGTTCTCCGACAGCAAGTTTGGAGCCCTCTTGGGCCGTTCCTGCACTCTCTCGGCGTCGCCAAAACACGCCGTATCGGGGGGGCCGACAAAAGAACAACCGTTGCAACGCTTGTCCTTTTGGCCCCGTGGTGCACCGCTGGCGCGCGTCATCCAAACGCGCTGCTCGATGACACTTCCTAGCGGATTGCGGGGGGCCCTCGGGGCCAACTAGGGGGTTATCGTTGGGCGCTCCCGCGGCTCCCGAGAGGAGCAGCGACTAGAGCCATGTGGGGCAGGGTAGGGTAGACGGCCCCCGCGAGTAGAATAGGGCGCGTTTAAGGTAGATGACACATCATAGCCGGCTAGAAAGAGTAGGGTAGAGCAGGGTAGGGTAGAGTAGAGAGTAGAGTGGGGCAGAATAGAGTAGGGTGGGTAGAGCAAGACCAGAGGAAGCCATGCGGACGCAAGCGGGCCCAGCCCAACGCAGTTCAGCCCAATATTATCCAGCCCACCCGACTTCAGCCACGGTCCGCTCCATCCCATTCCAGGCAAACTTGGAAATCAACGAATGTGGAATTCGTCTTTTTGGTCCAAGCGGGGGTCGCCTCATCATTCTGTCAGGCGCAGATCGTCACGGAGTGCCTGCACGCGTTCACCGCTCACGTCGCGAAGAACCCGAAGTGTGAGGTTCATGGTGGGCGCGTGGTTCAGGCGCATGGCGGCTTCGACCGACGTCGGCTTCAGCAATTTCGCGGGGGATGAGTGCAAGGACACACAATCTATGAACCTCAGCCTCTTGGCCCCAGCCCGCGCGAAGTCCGCCCAGGAGAAGATCGTCATGCACTTGGGAGATAGCAGGACACCGCGGCTATCGTGACCATCTCTGAGGGGATCATTGACAGGCTGAAGTGCATCGACTCAGACCTTGCACAGGTGTGCGTCGACAGCGACGAAGTGATGGCAGGAAAGGGCTGGTTCCACCAAGCATGGGTGGACTCGCAGTGCTTGCGGGCGTGTGGGCTGGCATTTTCAAGGGGGGGGGTCGGGCATCGTTGGCGACCGAATGGCGCGGGAGGTGATGGTAGAGTTTTGCAGCCATTCCGAGAAGATCTCCGCTCGCATGAAGAACACGTTCCGCATCATCCAGGGTTCGGCCTTGCAGCATGGCAAGGCCGCTGCTGACGCAGTGCAGTTGTTCAAGTCGTCGTACATGACAGAGCAGTCCGGGTGCGCGGTTGAGAAGTTGAACGCCATCCAGAGGATGATCGACGTGGGAAGGTCAGCCATCTCAGACGGGACGCTGGTCGATGTTTGGGGCGCCATGATCGACATCATGGAGACCGACGTCAACGTGAAACGGTTCGCCGAAGTGTTTGGCGATGCCCCATCCGTGACGGATACGTGCTCGCAAATGCCGCCGAGCCCAGACACCGCCGCTTTTGCCCTCAGCACCCCCAACGAGGTGGCAGCGAACTTCGCCAGCGTCGTGCTCGACCTCATCAGGGCCTGCTTGGAGCACGATGGCAACTACTTCCAGGCGGCGGTGAATGCGCTACTGGCTGGCGACACAGGAGCAGACGTGTTCTCCGTGCCGCCTGGAGAGGCGGCCAGAGAGGGCACGGCCGTCATCTCGCCGATGGAGGTGTTGGACTGGCTGGACGGCGCGCTCCAGGACAAGCGCGAAACAATGCCAGACCCATTGAGGAGGAGCGATGTTGCGAAGAGGCGGAGGCGGAGTTGGGGAGCTGGACGGGCAGGGAGGTGGAAGAGGGAGGTTGCGAGCTGGAGGGGTTTGAGTGGAGGGCTCGTTCACGGGCGCCTCTCGGTTGTTTCGGTAGATGGTTTCATGTTAATATAATCCTTTCTTTCCCAGGTATCACCCACGTCTTGTAGAACCCAAATCTGTGAAAACCATACGTCTGAAAAGAATAAACATGTTTTCAGTGAGTGCTGAGCTCGGGTGACTACAATAGCCACAGACACATGCCAACATATGTGAGGACCCTGATGCGGTTCCATGATTCGCTGATCCTTGTCAGGGGCAGGAGCATGCTTGTTCTGGAAACACGTGTGCATATATTTCAACAGGCCCCACGCAGCCCCGCGCGATGCTTGCGTGTGCCGCCCTGCCCCCGCAATTCTCACAGCAGCCGTTCAGCTTTTTTTTTTTTTCTGCATGGCACATGTCTGAACCCATAGTTCTTTATGAGGGAAGCTTGTCTGCAGCGATGTGCAGCCATGGCGCCCAGTGGTGAGTGGAGGTGAGTTCACTGAGTGTTCCGTGCTCAGTGGGGCCACGAGGTGGACGAGGAGGCCCACCCACCGCCAGCGCCCCCGCCGCAGCCCGCCCAGCCTGGTCCGGGGCACCGCGGCGGGAGGAGAGGGGGAGGAGGACGGCTGCCAGGGCAGCCAGGCAGAGGCAGAGGGCGAGGACGAGCAAGAGGTTTCATTGCACAGCCGACCACAGCTCTGAAGATGTCCCGCGGCCAGCTCCGACACCACAGCTGCCGCCGCCAACAGATGGTGGACGCCCTGTCGACCGCAGCTTCTCCTAGTGATCGGCTGGCCACCGCGCGTGTGATGTCCGAAGGTGGGAATGATCCGAAGCGCCCGCGTGTGGTTTTGATTCAAGGCATGCCAGTTGTCGCCCATCGCGCACAGAGTAGAGATTCAACAGTATCAGCACGTCGTGATTGCGCTGTCTCCTCACACGTAGCTGCTTAGTCAGCAGGCCTTGCCACATTCGTGAGGAGCGCTTCTTTCGTTTTCAGCATCAACATATTCGACGATTGCAACAGCTTCATTTGCAAGCCCAAGTCTGTCACTGGAATTTGCGATGGCCCCGTTAACCAGCGAGCCGCTGCAAGCATTGCCAAAAAGTTCAGCAGACGGGGCAAAAAACATATGTATGCCGACGTTCGACACATGCGAACATATGTTTATCCATCGTCGTGCCTAGCCTGGAGACGCTGTTGCCCTGGCAGGGGCGGAGGTTCATTCTCCTGCCGTCGTTCTTCCGCTAGCAAACGCAGGCACTATCATGTCACGACTCAGCAGGTGGAGCGTCGATCTAGCATGCGGGGCTGGCACGTCGATCGGCGGTGGTTCGCTCGAGCTGCGCCGTGCCATAGCCATAGTCGAGGCGCCCTGGGGGGCCATCATCCTTTGCCGAGACAACCTCGTGGCGAACAACTGCGTCATACGCATGGAGGGGAACGCGGTCCAGACAGTCAACGCTACGGCACCACATGATGACCACCATGTCACGTTGCTCGACGCACGGTGCGCATCTCACTCGGGCGTCCTGTGCCAGAGACAGTTTTTTTACAGCATCGACAAACTACCTTCGTCAATTGTTCGTCTTGGCCATGTCTTGGAGAGCGGGAGGGCAGCTCATACTTACTCAGAGTGCATTAAGGAAATGTCGAGTCGTTCGTTTTCGTATCGGAGGTGCGCCATGTTCCCGCCAGAATGTGAGCTATGGCAGGCGATGGCGCTCCGAGTCCTCGAACACAGCAGGCCGGCTCGGAACCTTTCCCCATCCCAGGAGGAGATGATTCTAAGTGGCGACAACGGCGATTGGGATTCGGATTGCGTGGTGCACTACTGCTCGGGCGACGGATGCCCGCTAGGCTGCAGGGGCGAGGCGCGCAGCAAGGGCCTCGTGGTCGACCTCATTGTGCTGTCCTTGTGCAGCCAGCTTGTCGTGGCGCTGGAATATAGGTGGAAGGGGTTCGACGCAGCCAGCGCGCGGGCGTTCAGGGGCAGGCGCCAGCACCGACTGTTGGACAGAGCCTTGGAGAAGATGTTCCCGCCAGCGAGGGTCAGGCAGGCCGAGCTGGCGATGCAGGGTGCCCAGATGCTTGGCAGGGACATGGACTGGTCTGTGAAGAACAACGCGAAGGGCGGCAGCGTCGCCCAGGCGTTCGCGAGGGACGACCCTCGCGCGAGCAATCTAGAGCTCGCCATCGTCTTGGGCGAGCCCGCCCAGAGCTTCCTCAACAAGTCGCTCGCTGCAGAGAAGGCTGCTCTGGCATCTGCGCAGGCGGCCCTGCGCGTTCCAGCGGGGGCCGGCAACCCGCCGCCCGATTTCGCCGAGGTCGAGGCGAAGGCCGTCGACGCGAACTGGGCCATCGCCAGAGGGTCCGAGGGCAGCGCGGTCATCTGCAAGCTCGCGGCCTTGATGCGTTCTTATTCTGCTGGGAAGTGGAAGGACCGATGGCGAAGCGGAACGGAGTTGGCCGCGGGGGGCGGGGGTGGGGGCGGTTGGGGGCGGGCCTGCCTGCCGCCTCTGCCCGCCCCCCCCCCCCCCGCCGTCCTTCGCCGTCCCTTTCGCCCGCCGAGGAGTTGAAGTTGCCGCGCGAGAAGAAGCACAAGGCGGGCCTGTGCATCATGAAGGGCATGGCCGAGGCGTGGCAGCGCTTGGTCTTCGTGCGTCGGCAGCCGAAGTTCGAAATCTTCGCGCTCGCAGCGGCTAGGGAGTATAGCCAGGACGCTGTTCGCAGAGTACTTGGCCCACTCGCAGCACGGAGGGAGCGCTGCGCCGACTGCGTCGATGAGTTCACGTGCGTCTGGCTGAATCGCCTGCAGGACCCATGTCGTTCACGCAGAGCACACAGATCGTTGAGGTCAACGTTGAGCTGCCTGCCAGTGAATTCGACCCGACGCGAGAGGAGGCATTTGATGTGCCAGGAGCTGAAAGAGAGTCCGATCCCGAGGTAGGGCCCCGACAGCCACCTCGACGGCACGGCGTATTTATATCGCACCAGCTTCCCAATCGCATTCGAGCGAATTGAAAGATGTGATGGCAGATGTGTTACTTGATCGTGGCATGCGGAAGTCATTTTCGCAAGGCCTGTCAGCTTTCGACGTGGGCGGTGGGAAGAGACGCAGGTGCGATGCGCGCACGGGGGGGGTGAGGCTGCATGCAGGAGCTCTGACGGCTTCTCCAAGACGATATCGCGCGCGGCCTTAAGATGTATTTGTATCTCAGAACTTCGAAGGCGGAGCTGCTGGAACGATGGCACGATGCAACCAGACAAGGAAGATATGGAAACAGCTGAATCCAAGGACAAGTACGCGGCGCGAGCTGCTGCTGAGAATCGGATAGTGGAAGAAGCTCGGGGCATGGACTTTCACCAGTTCAGCATGTCAAAGCTGGCTCAGTCACTGCGCAGGGGATTGAAGCTAAGCCTCAGGAGGTCCAGCGTCATCGCGACCCTGCGGAAGTTGAGCGACCACCCTGCGTGGGAAGACAGGCACCAGCGTGGATTGTTTCTAAGGGGGCCTCCACGTTGACAAGGTTCTGAACCATACACGGGCGCAGGCGCGTCAATTGGTGGAGACATGCATGGGGTACGACCCTACTCCTGTGCCGAATCCACTTGGGAACCTGGAGCCTTTTCTCGGCGTGCTCTCTACGACACGGGGGACCCTGCAGCAGGGACCACTATCAGGAGGGGCGCTCGATCGCGACGAAGAACTTGCATCGCTGGCGTTTGACCCCACGTCGGCGACGCCAAGCGGAGAGCGAGCTCGTTCCCCATCTTGCTAGAGTTCAGCGCAGCTGCCCCAGGCTCGCAGCCCGCCAAAATCTTAGTATTTCTCGCGATGATCGTCGGTGCTGGCGAGTTGGCCGTGACTGCCCGCATGCTCCTCATCGTGTACCACAATGTGCAGAAAGCTCAGCTTGGCGCGGGGGGTGATGTCGCGTCCAGCTCGGCATTTTGATTTCAAGAGACTCTTCATCGCTGCTGGAGTGGATGTCCCAGGTCACATAGATATGGCTTGGATCGGTTATCAGAGGGACGCGGACGTGGACCACTCCCAGATCATTCTTGGTAGGTCCAGCGAGGTTCGCGCAGAGCTGAGTTGCGAGCGCGGGGGCGCCGCGGTCAAGGTCGCGCACGGCGCAGCCAAGCTCGAGGCCGCGGCCAACGCCAAGCAGAAGTACAAGAACGTCTTATGCGCCAACATTGGCACGTTGCCCGGCGCGGGCCCTGCTGGGGACGCTGGGCAGCCTGGCGCATCCGACCTGAGCCACATCAGCGACGACGACGCCAAGTACGAGAAGGCCGTGGTCGAGCGGGAGTGCGACGAGGCCACGGAGTCGGGAGCCGACGCGGAGTCCGACGCGGCGGTCACCGACGCCAGCGTGTCGGAGGATCCTCCGCCTCCGCCTCAGCCGCCGCCTCCACCACAGGACATGTGGGGCAAATATGAGCGGAGCAATGGTGGGGGTGGGGCGCCATAGGCGTCCCTCTCGCGTCCTTCTGAGGCGCGTTTGCCTTCGCTGCGCCGTCTTCCTTCGGCTTCTTCGATGGCCCCATGAGGGCCCCGCCCATTCCCCACGGGGGCTCCAGAGCTCCACGATTGCCCCGCGAGCGCCCCTAGACGCCCTTCGGGGGCTCCAGGGCCCAAGAGAGCCCCATCGCCAACGTTGCCATCATCACCACTTTACGCCATAGCGCCCGCTATCGTCATCATCACCATCAGCATCATCATCAGCACCATCATTATCAGCATCATCGTCACCATCATCGTCATCATCGTCGTCATCATCACTCCCCAGACATCAGCTGCATCATCATCGTCACCACCGTCATCATCAGCGTCATCAGCACCACAGGCAGCGCAATCGTCGGCATCACTTTCATCATCGCCTTCATCACCCCCCA